AACTCGATTTTATAGAGGATTTCTCCAGCCTTTTCTAATGCACCCGCCTCTTCTGCTAGTAGAGTCATTGTTTCTGGCAAGAGATTATAATTCATAATAATACTTGGATATAATGATGCAAAATCTAAACCCGTAACAGGACTTTTGTTTTCTAGACCCTTATATGGGGGGAATACATAGGCTCCAGGAAATGTTCCTTTTTCTGTCCGTTCGAAAGAAATCAAAGTAATTAATATATCTCTTTTCCACGCTTCGGCACCTAATAGATTACATACCTTCATACCCCCTGCATAGTAATGTGAATCGAATAAAGAAACATATGCAATTGAGGCCACTTCTCTGTAATCATTTATTACATTTCTCTTAACCATAAGTTCTTGACAACTTAAAGCATCTTTAATACAATATTTAGCAATTTTACGTATATTTTCAGCGGTCTCGAGTGAGATATTCTCCTTGCTTCGTGTGTAATATTCCCTCATAACTTTTATGGGTAAATCTATTTTACTATCAAGACCATGCATTTCTAAGAAATAGTTGAGCGATTTTTTCTCAGATTTTGGATAAAGTTTTTTAAAGCATACTACAACATCAATTGGAACGCATCCTGGGATTTTAAGGAAAGTAGATATGAAACCTTCTTCTGGAGTGATCTTGATTTCAACTCCTTCCCGATTCTTTATCTTTTTGCTATCCTTGTTTTCTTTTTTGGAAGATCCCCATGATTGCTCTTTGTGAAAGAAATCTTTATAGAAAGGCTCACTTACCCCCCATAATAATTCCAACGAAGGATGCTATCGATTGTAGCCTTTTTATGCGTATTTGCTGGCATTTTTGTTAACATCCAATCCAAAATTTTCCATTGAGTAGCTTTTTCCACTACAAATGGCCAGTCATACTTGGAACCATTAAAAGTGAGTTCGATATCAGGAGCTAAAGCTTGCCAACATAAAGCAAATGCTTTTAATAGATTTTTCTCATTTCCACATATGATTGTAATCCAATTTGGATCCTGTGCACTTTCAACGTCAACAAGGCAGATTTGTTTCAATGGCTTTGGATCGTCTTTCCAATGAACAGTAATACAAATCATAAATATGTTATCTTCTTTATATCTCGCATAGGGCATGTGTTCTAACCCACGCGTTGAATGTGTTTCAATGTCCCAAGCAAGGACTAATGCTCGGTCTTGAGTAATAAGCTGAGAAGGGTAGGTCCTATATAATACTGCGGGATCCTCAACATGGCAAAAATTATTAACAGATAAATAAAAAGCATGTTCACAAAGAGGTGAACGGGCACTATAAGGCATTCTATGGCTATTATATGAGTCGGAGACTCTATGCTTCGCATATTTGTAATTAGTTAATAAAATCCATCTAGAGAGTGGAATCCTATATTCTCTAGCAACTTTTCGGTAGTATGCGCTCAAATCATCTGAGGCGGTTTCCAGCTTAGATTTATCTATATCGGATGATGTAATTTCTGAATTATATTTTAGGATAATATTAAGAGCGATTGATCTTTGTTTACTAGTAGTTGTAATAATACGAACATAGGGTTTTTTTTCTTTGTAATAACCGCGAATAGGAAATGCCTTTATATGTTCTGTCTGGAGTTCTGTCATATCTACAGTTCCCCCTTCGCCATCTTTTCCATTGGCAATAATATTTTTTATTTCAGTTTCGAATATATCAATATTTTGGTTATCGGAAACACGAATATCGAAGAAAACTTTTATACCAGAAAATGTAACTACAACTTTTTGGCCATTAACAAGATAACTGTAAAGTTGTAAAACATAGTATGGGGTATTATTTATATACTCATTATATTCCTCTATGTTACAAGGCATAAATGAGATATCTTTCCCAATAATTAAATCCTGATTAATAGTCGCTGTTGATCCATAGTCATCATTTTCAGCAATTATCACATTGCAACTCGGATAGGTTGGTAAATATACTTCTTCATTGTAGTAAAATACCTGGCTCTTACTTTCCAAAATCTATGATTGAGGAAAAGCTCTAAACCCCTGGAAGTAGAACGCCCCGTTATTTTCTTCTGGCTCGGGTTCGAATTCTGGCTCGAAATTCTCCGAGTTATCCACAGTTGGTGTATCGGGTACAATAGGCATGCTATGTTCATTTTGGGTACTCATGTTTTTTCTGAAAGAATATTTTTCAGAATTAAAAAGTTAAAAATGAAAATTAATTCTAAAGAATATTAATCAATACATATTATATACTCAATCGAGATAAATATCAAAAAGAATGGCATTTTATCGTTGTCCCTATATCCTTAGAACTGGTGAAGTCTGTAATCGGCCATGTTATCATCCCAATGGGTGTAAAGTTCACCGGGATTCACCTATTCGTTATCCTTGCAAAGAATATGGTTGTGTTAAGTTAACTAATTCTGGTTATGGTTATTGTGATACTCATGCGCAGAAACATCGTAGAAGAGAGTATAGGCATCAGAAAAAGCTGGAGAAGGTGGCAGAAAAAAATACATAGTATGAAGGTGTATGTTGGGGGGTCGCGTCCACTTTTTCTTGGACGAATTTTTTCTTGGACGAATTTCTTGGACGAAAAAAGATAGCTAGATAATATTTTTTTCATCGAAAGAAAAGGTTTTAGACTAGTCATCCAGGTTGTTCAGGTTGTCTAGTTAAATTTTCGATCTTCTTACTTTTATATTTTTTATCTATGTGTATAGAATATATGCATAGATATGTATATAGCGTATATGTACCAAAGATATGATATATAGCGTATACCATAGAAAAGAGTTTGATATTTTTTCCTAGAATTCTATTTTTTACCTAGACAACTTAGATGAAAATAGAACAAGTATAGAAGAACAAGTTAAAACAAAAATAAATCGTTTTCTCCTATAATATTATTCGTCCAAGTTGGCATATTTTTATTTGGACGATACCTGGACGATATTTTTTTCTTGGACGTGAGCAGATCCATTTTAACCACATTCTAGGATAGCATTTACGTATTATATTTGATAGCATGACCAGATAGTATATACCTGATAGCATACCTGATAGCATTTTTGCGATATATTCGTATATATATTTGATAACATATATCCACTAACATGTCTCGATAACATAACTTGATAACATAATTGATAGCACTCGATAACATTTGCGTGATATATTTACCTCCACAAATGATATACAAATTGCAATCAGGTTGTCAAACTCGTGATAAAGCCAACCTGGTAGCATAACCTACCTCAGCTATTTTATTGCAACGGAAATCAGTCGTCATCTCATTTTATCTCCGCTAATCCACCCATCAAACTCGCGATGAGGCCAACCAGGTAGCATAACCTACCTCAGATATTTTATTGTAATGGAAATCAGTCAGAATTACCATCCCGATATACAATAGTTTACATGACGATGGTGTCATATTTTTGTCATCACGACACGTACCTAGCTCGTTATAACTTAAATCGGGAAGTGTTCTATACTTGAAATAAGTCACAGACGTTAAACTGGTATACTACGAAAATGTGTCATAAAATATAGATCACGACACTGACGATGTGAATATAAAATTATCATCATATTTTTTATAGATCGTAAGGTATCTAAGTGTGACGATGTGAACACAAATACGTCGTCATACCTGAGTGGAAATAACCTAGACTATGTGGAAATAACATAATTATGTTATTTCCACTAAAAGCTTTAGACATGTCTTGAAATAGTATCCATGCTTCTTTATTATGTGAGATGTAGTATTCGATTGTATTGTGAAGGATTTGGATTGGAGTATGTGTTGAGAGGTTTTTTGATACTGCAAAGTTGAGATTTGAAA